TCAGGGGTTAACACTTTGGTTGCTGCCTTTTGTGGAGATCCAGTGAGTCCTGGGGAAGTTAGGGGTGAAGAGAGAGCACTGGAGGAGCTTTTATCAACAAGATATTTTAACAATGATAGCAGTAACAGTTCATACTGATTGAGTATCAGTCCTTCCTATGCTCCCTTGACACCCACTCCAAGTTCTTGAGGCCAAAAATATGTGAGTAGAACTCAAGTTACTCTCCTCTCTTTGCCCAGTCCTCCTTCTTTGGTGAGTTTTTAAGCAAATTAGAAAATCATCTTCTTGGTGTCTTTCCTTGAGAAATCTTAGAACTGGCACTTGACATAAGAAAAATCCCACTGTCAAACTCCAAAGCGAGTCACAGATTTAGCAGGAGGTTGTGTGAAATGTAAACTGTAAAACTGTGTAAACTATTAAGAAAGATCTTGCTGAAGTCATTGGCTGGATAGTGGAGCACAGAATACAGAGCAGAAGACTTGCCATTTATCAGTCATTCAATTAAACACACCAACCCAAAAGAGAACTCCTCAAAGGAGATCGTTTTATAGCACATAATGAAACACAAAACCAAACCAAACTTGTCTCTGACTTTTTTTTTTTAAAGGGCTGTTTAAAAAGATAACTGGAGAGTGTGGGAGAGTGTGTACCACTTCCCCCAGATTTGCTGTGAAGTGCAGAAGTGTGAGTGATGTAGAGGTACTTGTTTATTATAGAGCACATTTCAATGCAGTAATCATAAATATTGCTAAGGTTGTGCTCCGTTGAAATATGACCTACATACTCTTGATTGTTTGTGTTACGTGATTTGTCTGACACCCATTACATTCTGGGTAATAGCAGCCATTTGTTGCTCTGCACGGCAGGCTCTTCTGACAAAAGAAAATAGGCAGCAATAAAAAAGCTATAGTCTGAATTACATTCTGCACAGTGCTGCACTGCTGAGAGTTTGTGCAAGTGTGTTAACAATGTTCTGAACTGCCTCTTGTCAGCCTTCAGCCTGTAATGGCCATCTGTCCTCACATAAATCTGTCAAAACCTGCTAAGTTCAAGAGAGAGCATGGAATATACCTTGTACTGTCAACACCAAAATGTACACATTCCCCAGAAAATCAACACACAGGAAATAATCCGGAGGTTATGGGAGGCATTAGCCCGGTTGATTTAGGCTTGTGGGCTGAAATTGAGAGTCCGGCAATTAGTGGGAAGATGACAAAGGTAGTGGGGTTGAGGAGTTGATTATTGACTGCCCTTGTACCGCAGGGGAAAACATTCTGGGTGGAGGAGATGGGGTTAGAGAAATCTAATTAGTTCAGGTGCAGCAAAGGGTTCCCTGTCCCGGGCACAACTCCTAAAAGGTGGACATCACGTTAAAAGAAAAGAAAAGAAAAAAAAAGCTTCTTACATGTTTATTTATTTATTATTTTATTTTATTTTTTTGTGGTACGCGGGCCTCTCAATGTTTTGGCCTCTCCCGTTGCGGAGCACAGGCTCCGGACGCACAGGCTCAGCGGCCATGGCTCACGGGCCCAGCCGCTCCGCGGCATGTGGGATCTTCCCAGACCGGGGCACGAACCCCCGTCCCATGCATCGGCCGGCGGACTCTCAACCACTGCGCCACCAGGGAAGCCCCGCTTCTTATACTTTTGTTTTGCTTTGTTTTGTTTTACTCTGGATCTCAACCCTATCTGGAAATAGATTTTCAATGAGGCACTGGTGACACGCAGTCTCGTGCTCCTTAAGATGTCTCAGTCTTGCTCTGGGGTATGCTCCTCGGATTGAAGAAGTTTCAGTAAATAGTCAAAAGGTTAGGGAATGATCTGAATTATTTTTCCCTGCCCACCGACTCACTAATCCTAAAATAACTTCCATCCACTAAGAGAGTATTATTTAATGAGCAGGGCCGTCTGAAATTTCTAGTCCTGATATTTTCACTCACAGGGTATATCTGCTTATCTCAGGGTGTTTCTGTAAGTTTTAAGCAGATACACAAGAAAATCTGTACTTACTGCAGATTTTAAAGAATGATCTCTTTATGAAGTCCTGGGGGCTGAATCCCTGAAATGCCAGCATTTGGTGGAATATTCAGCACACAGTAGGTGCTGAGTGAAAGTCTGTTTAATTGCCACAGGCCATCTAAAATGAAAAGGAAGTAAAAGGCTTTGTTTTCAACGCCAAGAAACTCTAATCACGTGTTAGCGCTCCCAAGAGCAACTTGAGAATCGGTTATTTAAGCGATAATGAGCTTAGGTACTAGGACAAGGGTTTCAAATGTTCAAGACGAAAAAGAATTTCTATATTTAAAATCCCTAGATAGCTGAGCTATTTTTAGAACTAGTCTCTCTTTAATAGTGGCCTAATTTGGTGTTTCTGAAGTTTAGGGTTTCTTTTTATAAGTCTAGAATGTCAGTCAAAATATATCTACCTGAGATCAAGGCAAGGTGCCACATAGACGCGGCGGGATAGTGGCTCTCCATAAGTGGTCTATGAACCGTGTCATTAAAAATATTCGACCAGCTTCCCAAGTGATCCGTGGGCCACTGAAATGGGACACCTACTAGTAAAGGAGGATCTAGAAAAATAAAAATGAGTGAAACATTTTGCAAAAATAAGCCCGAGCAATATTCCACTGAGAGCTTCTCATCTGTCTGGAGAGACAAGATATAATTCACATTCAAAAAGATAAGTGTGAAAATATAGCAATATCTGGTAAGTGAGTGATCCTGGCAGTAAATTATTGGAAAAGTAAAAATTACCCCCATTCAGAGTATCATGAAAAGATCTATGAAGTTGTATTTGAGGATGTTGAATGTCATTTCTCCCAATTCAAGGGCTATCTCATTTGGAATATTTGACTGTTATTTACTCAGCAAAGAGAGATTATTCATCATTATTTCTTTGAGCATCTTAGCTTCCTGTGAGAAATATTTGAGATCTTGTCATTTCTTTGCTGGGAGTTGGTATCTTTACATTTGTTGTAGCAGTAATTGAAGGTAGCATGTGGTTGAAATCAGTGTGTATGAATGGGGCAGTGCAGAGGGTAAAGGAAACAAGCAGAGGGAGAGATGGACAAACAGAAAGATAGACAGGGTAAGAAAGAAAGCACGAAAAGGAAGGGGAGAAGGAGATGGAGGGGGAAATGGGAGGAATAGGAAGAGACGGAGGAGGGGAAGGAGGGGAAGGAGGGAAGGAGGAGAGAAAATTTGCCATATAGGAATTCCTTAGAGTGAGTAAAAGATATACTTGTCTATGAAAGAGGGAACACAAGGAGAGTGAACTTCAGTGACATAGATGATTCCTTCAGTAATGTCACCTCCCTATTATCTTCAAGCAAAGAATGGAGGGCAGGCGTACAGTAGGCTGCTGATAAAGGGAAGCTTTTCTGAGACTCAGATGTGTCACGAAGGGAGAGCAGTGTCTCCTTCTCTTTGTGTTTGCATTTCCCTGTCTTTCTGAACTTTTCTGGGATAGATGTCCAAAGTCAAACCTTTTTGCATTTTTGTACGTTTCCTTCCCTCCTTTAGGGAGAATTAGCTATGTATAATAAAAGTTGCCAAATATTGGTGCAAAATATTTCATTTTAAGGAAAATATTAATTTCTTCTATCTCTTTATTGTCAAGCAGGGGAGAGAGGCAGTGTCTTCCTGTTCATACCAAAACTTCATGTAGCGTTCTGTGCCCTAGTTGGTTATGTGTGTGTATGTATGTGTGTGTGTCAAGGTAGAATTTTCCTTGAAGCATGCAGTCGCCTTAAGTCCAACCCCAGGCTTCTTGTGGACTTAAGTTCTTTTTTGCTGAATAGCATCCTCCCGTCCTCCTAAATAAAAAGTGTATTGTAAACTAAAATGTTCCCTTGTAAGCATAAAGTCATTTGAACTCCAGCCTGCCCTTCTTCAAAGTTCCGTCGACTCTGGAGCTTTTCCACAATTCTTCTTCCTTGGCATAAAGGGCTGAGGAGGACTTAGGGGTGAAACTGAACAGAGATAACTAGCCTTCACACGCTCTCCCACAATGACTTGTGATGGAATTTTCTGCCCTCTGTAGAAAAGCACAAAAGGCAACAACTGACAGATTCCCCCTCTTCTTCCTTTCTTTTTTTTTTCATTTTTTCAATTAGTTAGTTGCCGAAGCTTGGATTCGTTTCAATCCTTCAACCTCCTAACCCGCCCTGATGTGGTGCTCCAGATAAAATGGTGTGCTGGTACCGCAATATTTAGTGTTACTGTTCACTTAAGTTTCTGTTGCAGAACCATATTTTTGACAGAATGTATTAGTTATGCTTACAAGAATGTACTATACCTACATTAGCCATGGTTTACAAAGTTAATGAACTGTGGAGACAGAGAATCATTGCCGTCATGTTGTAGAGTTGTCTGGTACCCTGCGTTAGCCGGCTGCATTTTACTGAACTTACTTTGATGTTGCCAATGTCATTCCCACCCTCCCCCCCAGTTGCTGTCATCCCGTCTTTTCTTTTCTTTTCTTTTCTTTTTTTTTTAAAGTTGCCTAATTCTTTGGCTCCGTGGGTAGATATCCTTGATTTTACAAAAATTCCTGACCTACATGCATCCTCCCCAGCATTCTTTGCACCAAAGGTCTTCTATGATTTCCCTGTGTCCCTACCGTGTTAATTTTCCACAACTAAGACTGTGAGAAGCCCCTGTAAATCTGAGCTTTTGTAATGCCTGGTGGTGACGTGGTCATGTTTCCTGGAAAGCAGGATCGGTTAGCATTGGCGTCTGAAATACAAAATATCATGGCTTTCACCACAGCCTCATATCGTAGATCCATCTTTTCTTGGTGACAGAGGCTTCGGGAGACAGAGTCACTTTTTCCGGTCTTATCGTGAATTTAGTTTCCTTCCTTTTCACTGAGTTTTAACCATTGTCTGAAATCTTGGAAAAGTTAGGAAAACATATCCTGGCATTTAACAACATATCTCTGTCTCTTTTCTTTCTCTCTCTCCCCTCCCCCTTTTTTTTTTTCTTTTATCATCTTAGGCCTAACTCCACCCACAACTCCTCCTCATAAAGGCAACCAAGATAACCCTTTTAGGGCTTCTCCAAAGCTGAAGCCCTCTTGCAAGACTGTGGTACCTCCGCCATCAAAGAAGGCCCGGTACAGTGAGTCTTCCGGTATCCAAGACAATAACTCCACCAGGAAAGGGCCCGAGCAGTCTGAGTTGTACGCACAGCTCAGTAAGACCTCCGTGCTCACCAGTGGACACGAGGAAAGGAAGGCCAAGCGGCCCAGTCTGCGGCTGTTTGGTGACCATGACTATTGTCAGTCAATTAATTCCAAAACGGAAATACTCATTAATATATCACAGGAGCTCCACGACTCCAGACAACTAGAATATAAAGATGCCTCCTCCAACTGGCAGGGGCAGATGCGCTCTTCCACAGATTCAGACCAGTGCTACCTGAGAGAGGCCTCGGGGGTGAGCAGGCAGGTCTCTCCCGGCAGCACCAGAAAACAGCTCCAAGACCAGGAAATCCGAGCTGAGCTGAACAAGCACTTCGGTCATCCCAGTCAAGCTGTTTTTGACGACGAAGCAGACAAGACCAGTGAACTGAGGGACAGTGATTTCAGTAATGAACAATTCTCCAAACTACCTATGTTTATAAATTCAGGACTAGCCATGGATGGCCTGTTTGATGACAGCGAGGATGAAAGTGATAAACTGAAGTCCCCTTGGGATGGCACGCAGTCCTATTCATTGTTCCATGTGTCGCCTTCTTGTTCTTCTTTTAACTCTCCATGTAGAGATTCCGTGTCACCACCCAAATCCTTATTTTCTCAAAGACCCCAAAGGATGCGCTCTCGTTCACGGTCCTTTTCTCGACATAGGTCGTGTTCTCGATCACCATATTCCAGGTCAAGATCAAGGTCCCCAGGCAGTAGATCCTCTTCAAGGTAAACCTTGTCAAAACCCACCCAAAGCCTAAGGCGTCCCCAGGAAGTGAAAAAAAAACAAAGGCAAAAAAATGCATTCAAAACCCACAGGCAGCCCAGCCCCTCACCATCCATTCCCAGTGCCACAGGAACTAAGGAGATTGTCGTTACCCATACATTCCTCCCCATCTTCTCTTAAGTCTGTCATTCTTGAACACAGTGCCTTGAGCCAGTCAGATCTGAGAGAGCAATTTGTAAGAAACTTGCTCATCTACCTTTTTTCCATTACCTGGAGAGCTGCCTTGTGCCAGGATAGGTGAGATCCATGCAAGATAAAGCTGACAGTGTACCAGGCCGGCGTTCGGCATTCACATCAATAAGAGACGCTGCAAGAGAACACGTCACTCCAGACCTCTAAGCTGACTAGATGATCACAAACTGTCACTGGGAAATCTCACAAGTAGCTGGGAACTGAAAGCCGGTTTATGTAATGCGGAATTCCAGGGGCTGTTCAGTCATGCCGATAAACTGGGGTTCACTGGCAGTTGCAAATGCCCTTCTGTTTTTCCTCCTCTCTCCCAGATCTTGCTACTACTATGAGTCAGGCCACTGCAGACACCGCGCGCACCGAAATTCTCCCCTGTGCGCGAGATCACGTTCAAGATCGCCCTACGGCCGGCGGCCCAGGTAATGATACACGTCCTTTTCCCTCCGCGCCTCTCATCTCCTCCCGTAGATGACAAGATGTTTTCTAAAACCCCGCCCCCTCCCCAATTTCCGATTAATTTTGCTCATGCGATTGGAGGTGGTTGCCTTAATGATGAAGTTATGTTTCTCAGGTATGACAGCTACGAAGAGTATCAGCACGAGAGGCTGAAGAGGGAAGAATACCGCAGAGAGTATGAGAAACGGGAGTCTGAAAGGGCCAAACAGAGAGAGAGGCAAAGGCAGAAGGCAATTGTAAGCAGCTTGGAGCTTACTTTCATTTTACAGGAGGGTGTCTTTTCTTTTTTTCTCCTGTCTTTTCTTTTCGTGGGGGTGGGCATAGATTAGAAAATAAGGGAAAGACTCTTGTTAGAATATGCAATACTCAGCCTTTTGGCTTTAAAGCATCAGTGAGTCCTCAGTCCCTCTTAACACAGACTATTGGAAAGCAAAATGTTAGGTCAGTGTATTTCTCCTCCATACTACCTGTTTCTCATTCATCTTGAAGCTCATTACTGTTTTTGACCTTTGTTTCTAAAAATGGAGGAAGGAGAGATTTGTCCAGTCAGATACTGGTCCCATCAAGCCAGAGGATGAGTTCTTTGTATTGTTCTCTGCTGCTTTTTTTTCTCTGAGTGGAAAATGAAGAGATATCACTATTTGGTTTCAGTTTTCGTCTTTTTGGCAGACGTGAGGGTTGGATTGAGTTAGATTTAAAGGCAGTGGTGGAGAAAGATTTGCTAAGAAAGTCATCATTTCTTCCTTGTGCCAGGTCAACAGCTAACACATCCATATTTCTTATGAACTGCTTTTCAATAACCTATTATGGATTTCAGCACCACGTACTGCAGGGTGTTACATTCGCTTGACATATACACAGTACTGACCCTTTGGGCTTAGGATCTAGGTTATGTGCATCTAGTTCGTTCTCCGTTGGTCAGACCTTAGAAGGCAAAAAGGAGGTCCTCCAATTGTCAGCATCCAGTACTTGTTCAAGGCAGATATTCCTAATTGATTAAGGAAATCTTTCCCACTGAGCCCCAATAGAGCCTTGAGGGCTTTCCCAACATGGTGCTTTAGGGAGCCATGGCATATCCATTGGAAATGGCACTGTTTTCATTCATTGCAGCTGCTGTCTGTTAGCTGCTAAACGTCATTTCAATGAAGATCAACCTTTGACACATCTTGCATACAAGCTAACCAGGGCTTAGGGAAATGGTATTTAGCTGGAAATGTTAGATGGATATGGTACCTTTAAAACAACCCACAACCATCAACAAAATCTTGAAAAACCTACCTAGAAGAGCTGACTAATAGAGTCCAAATCGAGCGTTGGCCAACAGTTATCAACTGGAGGAAAAAGGTTAACTGAGAGGTTTGTTAAGTCAGGCACTCAAGGAAAAAGAAGGGAGAAGTAATTGAATACGTAGGCTAAAGATCTAGGGCTTTGCTGCCATTTAACTTCGAATCTACCTAAGACCAAATTAAAGGCCTTGTGAAAATTATAACACTTTCCCTCATTTTTCTCAACTTTCAAATGAGCTGTGATATTAACATCTGCCAGAGTATCATTAGTTAACACTTAAGAAGACTAATGAAAATTAAAAATTCAATTTTCTAATTTAGATGTTTTTAATTAATAGCCTGTTCAATAATTATAATAATTCACATTTATAGAGTGCCATATAGTTTACAAAGCCTTGTAGCGTGGCACGGTACAGTTAATATATACCAAAGAGAGTCATGTTGAGTAAGCATGAAGGTAAATAGTTATTTCAATGTTTTCGTATCCATATTTGATAAAACTCTTCATGTTTCTTCCCAAAAGAATGACACTAAAGAGAGAAATTGTTTTATCATATATTTGCTCATTTGTGCAAAATATAACACAGCTGTAACCAAAGCTATATAGATAGATGTAGATAAATGACATGTGCTTATTCTATTCTTCCAAAGATAATTTAGTGCCAGATACTTACTAGGGTGAAGAAAGGGAGGGAGGGGTCATTTTTGCTAGTTTGGTTCTTTACAAATAGATCAAAGAGTGTGATGGTCTATATTCCATAGATGCCTGAGCCAAAAGCACTCTTGAGGCCACTAGCCTCAGTCTGGAAGCAGATACCACCCTACCACCCTGCCTTTCCTTGTGTCACAAATATTGACCAGTTCCTTGGTTAATTCTTTGACTAAGACAGTCTGTATCAGTTCCCTTTGAAAGACAGCAATTATAGTGCAAATGTCAACTTGGCTTATATTAAGTCATCATAATTAACTAGACGTTTGTGAGAATTCTGGCTTTGAGATTTTTATTGTTTTTAAAAAGCAGATTAAAAAAGAAAACTAGGACATAGAGATTGTTTACTAACACAGTGACCCATAGGTACTAAGAGCTTAGTATAAAGATTTGGGACTTAACTATTAAACCAATTCCCACTTGGACTATTAGATGCTATTTTTGCTTAAAATAAGTGAAAACACATGAGTGTATGAGAGACATTTGTTAGGTGCCTGGGTTCTAAAATTAGGTAAGACCTAGTCCCCACATCCAGGGAGTTCAAGTCTACTGGCTGGTAAAGATACATGAAGAGGCAATAGGGTGTGTTAATTGCTATCGCAGAGGATGCGCCTAAGGTACTGCAGTGGCAAATGGGTCGGCAACCAGCCCTGGGAATGAGGGAGGGCATCCCTGGAGAGGGTGAGATTGATTTGAAACCTAAAGGGAGGAAAGGGCAAAGGTTTTTTTCACCTGTGTTGTCCAGTGTGGGAGCCATTAGCCATGAGGCTAATTCAGCTAGTCCCAAATTTAGATGCACTATGAGTGTGATTGAATTTTGAAGACAGTACAAAAAAAAAAAGAGTGTAAAATACTTCATTAATATTTTTTACATCAATGACAAGTTGAAACAATAATATTTTGGCTATGCTGAGCCAAGTAAAATATATTATTAAAATTAAATTTGTTCTTTTACTTTTTAAAATGTGCCTCAGAAAATTTAAAAGTTACATATGGTGCATTATATTTTTATTGGAAATTACTATTCTAGGCAGAGACTTTAGCTTATACTAAGTCTCTGGAAAAGAACAAGCTATATTGGGAAACTGCTAGTCATTTAATTAGAACACCAGGGTACAGGAGAGGCAAGAAATAAGTCTGGAGGGCTCCATGGTCGCCAGATCCTTGAAGGGTCCTTTAAGTCATAATAAAGATTTTGAAGAATATCTTGAAGGCGTAGTGGAACTATTTAATGAGATTACCCGCAGGAAGTTTTTCTGATTGATTTCCTTCCTCAAAATGGTCTGCTTTCTTGTGCCATAATGCATTTGCAAAATATATTTTTACGGACTTGGAGATACAAGCAATGATTTTTGACTCATTTGACTAGATTAGCTTGAAAAGTCATTCATGAAACAGCTAAAGGAACTAGGACAGTTTGCCGAAGTTGATCGGGTAGGTGATTTCCATTCAGATTTCTGAGACACCCTGAAAGTAATGAATAAATAGCAAATTATATCTGGAATATCTTGGGTGCGGTGCTGGATTATTCATTAATTCAGATCAATTTTATAATCAGGGGAGCAGCAAAACAGAGGCTCCAAAAGGAAATGAAAAAAATGTTACAATCATGTAATAGATATTTTACAAAATTAACCTTTGCTACCTTGTCTTGTGGTCTATAATATTGACTTATTTTTGAGTTCCATAAGAAGGAGATGGTGGTTTAGGTCATCTATAAACTTTTTAATATGTATGTGTCCAAAAGTCTTTATTCAGACCGACTTCAGTGTACCAAATCAGACAGCTAAGAAAAGACTAATAATTAGTAATTACACAGAATCATATGTTGTGGTTGAATATTGCCATTGTTTAAGTTGCTGTTTTCCTCCAATTTCCATCTAAATGCTCTCAAAACCCAATTTATCCTCTGCTTTTCTCAGTCTCATAGGCTTGAAATAATTCAGGATATTGGAACTCTGGAAGCCAGAGTATAGTACTTAATGTCTAATTATATTAGCTCTTAAGTAAACTAACCTGGATGTATTCACATCCATCCAACCTAAGACACTAAGGAGGAGTATTCCTGGACCGTACTTGGATGGAAGTAACTTTGGTAAACTGAAAGCTATAGTTTTGTTTCTCCCCTGAAAGTGTCTCCTAGTCGGGGTCACTTACTGAATGCCTACTGAATCAGATGAGTGTTATCAATGTTAAGAACAAGAGAAAAAACAACAAAAAAGGAAACTTGTTTTGGCATTATGTCAGAGTTTTGGCCTTTGTTTCTATCCATTCACACCTCTTCATGGTCATTCACCCCTCTCACTTTCTCTTTTAGATAGAGGACCTAGCTATACCATTCACTGTAGAAGTGGCATGAATTTTATCCACTCATCTCATCTATAGTGTTTGTAATATCCTTGGAATTTTTGAGGAAGTTAGGTTGTAACTAATCTGGAGGTGAACATAAATCTTTCACTGTCAAAGTTGACATGCAGTTTCCTTAGCATAGGAAGAGGGATGTTTAAATTATCCTGACTTGGAAATGTAGAATAAAAGTTCTGAGAACTAAAATCCAAATGATATCAGGCTGTTCCTTATTGTTCCCTAACACTGCAGAGCATTTTAGTGAGATAACCCACAGAAAAGCATCAAGCACAGCACTTGGCATCTACTAGAATTTAGTAAATGTTAATCTCACTACTAATTTCCTTTTCTTCTTAGTCAAACCCCTATTACCAGGAGCTACTTATTTTTTGATGAGAAACAACCATTGTATATTTCCCCCAGCTAACTGGGAGGCTCTACCCACTTTCTGATAAAGATTTTGATAATGCAAAGTCAGTTTAATTCAGTCGGATTTTTTTTCTCTGTTCATCCCCTGTGTTTTGATATAATGAGGATTTACCATACCTGTTAATGCAACATAAATCTTCACTTCTATTATCCACCCCATCAGCAAACTAGCTTTTGTGAAAATTGAAGCTAAAATATACTTGATAAATGTTCCTTCCTCCTCGATAGGGAAAACTGGTCTGAAAATCATTTTTCAAGGAGCTTTTTCCAAAGGTTTAGAGTTCCTCCAAGCCTTTAAGAAGTTGGAAATGTTATTAAGCATTTTGATTTCTTTTCCTTTCATCTCATGTTTAGAAATTAATGTCTTGAAAAATTGGCTGCAAATGTTAAGGTTTTTTAAAGATATGGAATCTATTCATCTGTCTAATAAAACTGCAACATGTTAAAAATAATCAGTTCTTCACTAGACATTTTGGTCAATCTTGGAAAGATTTTTGTCTTTGCTTTTTAGACCTTCAGATGCCTTTTAATTTCATTTTTATCACTAGGAAAACCAAACACTAATCATTTTCTCAAATGAGAATTTCAACATGTATTCAATCTCTGATCTTTGTAAGATAGCAAGATGTGGTCGCATTCTTATGTTGCATAAAAGAAGATTGACAGTCAAATAGGTAATTTAAGTGATTGCGGAACAGCCCTTTGGATTTCTGTCTTTCCTATCTAGGTTGTGTCTTCTTTTTAGTGCAGAATGTATCAGTATCCAATATAAAAGGTCCTCTGGTTTATCCTTTTTTGGGATTATTGTTGCATAGAGTTTCGTATAAAGAAGCAATTCAGAGACTATCCCAATATGTCTGCATATGGATGTGCATATGGTCGATTTTCACTTTTACTGTGAATTTCCTTGAAGATGAACATAGGCTGTGTATATTCCCTTAATGGTAGATGAGCAATTTCTTTGTGATGGTTCAATTTCTTTCTCTCTCTTCTGCATTTCTGCCTCCTTTTCCTCTGTACAGTAGTAACCTTCCTAAAGACATTCATTAAAAAAAATAAATAAATAACACTCATGCAAGCAGGCGCCAGGAAGTTTAGATAACAGTCCCATCAAATTCTGCTGTTTGGCTGGAGCTGGCTGCATAAATAGAATGGAATGTGATGTGATGATTCCCTTGCTCAAGTGTACAGCACTGCTCCGGGATGAGCCTCACTCTCCATTTATATTTATTGACCTCCAGGATGTGCTGGGGGCTCTGGAACAACACAATTACAGCCTTCGGTTGAGACATACAATCTACATGGAAGCGAATCAGGCAGCCCGCTCTGCTTGCTGTACTTCGTCTGGTCAGTTATGTAGGCTCAGTGGTTGCTGTCAAAGAATTGTGTTTTACCAGCTGTTTCAGTGGAGTGAGACAAGTGAGAGCACTTACCCTTAAACCATAAAAGCAAATCATGGAAACCTTTGTTAGTACACTCAGCTGAGCTACTTGGGTAAGGTTTTTCCTATGATAAAGCACCAAACCTGGTTTTCATTCTCCACTGTCTTAGAGAGTCTCAGAGTAAGGACCACACTTAGTCACCTTTGATGTAATGAAGGGTATGGAACTAGGTGTCAAAAGTGATTAATTGATTGATTTTTCAACAAATATTCATTAAGAAGACTCTTATGTTTGGGTACCCTTAAAATATAGTAGTCGATAAGACTGGTATGGTCGGTGCTTTCATGAAGCTTTCATTGTTGGGGGAGATGGACATTAAACACCGAATAAACTATTAATTATTTAATTACAATTGGGCACAGAACTACAAAGGAGAAGTAGAGTGTTCTATCAGAGCAACTTGTAATAGAAAGCCGAACCTCACCTCAAGTCTCAGAGAGGAAAATGATTGTTGATGTTAACTTCACTGATACAAGAAAGACCCACTGGGAAGAGGCTGAACTACAGAGTTTGGTTTGGGTAATGTTGGTCTAGTTTGAGGTACCTATGGGACATCCAACCTGAGATGTCAAATAGATAGTTGTTTATTTGAACCTGAAGCTCAGAGGAACTTTCCTGATGAAAACGGAAATATGAGTGTTGCATATGGTAAAAGAAGAAACATGGATGATCAAATCACCTAGGAGGATACGTATTATAGGGTCTGTGAATTGTTCAGTTACGTTTCTCAAACATTTATTGAGAGTCCACTCTTTACCAAGTTCTTTGCTAAATACTGGGCACATGAAATGGACATATGTTTAGTAAATAACATAGGACATCTCTTTGCTTTAAGCCTAAATGACTTTTTACATCATCCAAGATGTAAAAAGATATTCTCAGCACATCCAGAGAAAACTCTTAGGCAGGCTAAATCTGTACCTTTGCCCTGTGTTTCCTAGTCTCTGCCTCCGTCTAACTTAAATCTCTCCAACCTTAAATTCATTTCATTCTTGTTTGCCATTGATAGACATACAAGCTAACTGGTAAGCACTTCGTTATACTAACTTCTTGCACCTTTTCTCAGCTTGAGAAACATCATCATCTTTGGCCTTGTCTTCTTGGAATAAGAGATATACGATTACTTCTTACACTAAGAATGCATTCTTGTTCTGTAAAAGTGATCCATCTTCAGGCTATAAAATATTCTTCCCATATTTTGTAGGTTATAAATTGCTGTTGACTTTCAGATTATGATGATATTGACTCCACTTGTGAAAATTAGGCCACACCCTTCTCGTCTGTTCCTAAAATAAGATTCATTGGCAAAGTGAAATTTATAGCCTCTTTTATAGCTCTTATTCTTTGGAGACCCATGGCTTAAAATGGCCAGTATTTTAAGACTGTATTTTTTAAATTATTGTCTTTGGACCACCTGTATCAGAATCACTGGGGTGTGCTTGTTAAAAATAAAGATCATTGAAGCTTACTTTCCAAATTTTTTTAATACAGCTGGAATAAACCCAATCATTTGCATTTTTAATAAGCACCCCAGGTAATTTGTATTTATACTAGAGTTTAAGAATCAATATTTTGAGGGGTGTCAAAATTTGTATGTCAAACTATCATGCTGTACATCTTAAAATTATATAGTAACGGATGTCAATGATTTGTCAATAGAACTAAAAAATGTGTATATTTTATTATTGCAATTCTGAGTTAAGGAGAAATTAAAGAGTTTTGCAAGCCAGGTCAGTTTCCTACCAATTTTGAAGATTAATAATCGAGTCACAAGTGTTAAAATATTTAATAGATATTATTCAGCTATTCAGTGATAAAAAAGATTGCATTACACACATTTCTTCTATAATACATTAAATTTCATGTGACAAAGAAACAGAGATGGATAGAAAAAGTAGAAGAGAGTGAGAGGCAGAAGAGAGTGATACTGAAGAAATGGAAAGTAAAACTTGGTTCAAGTGTAGTCTTTTGTTCAGGTTTAGTGTGTGTTTTGCTTTAATTGGCATGCTCTGGGGGGGTTCTTATTATGCATGATTGCACATTTATAAATGTTTCTAGCATTCAACTTCTTTCCTATCTTCAGAACTAGCAAGTGTCTTCTCACTTTCCCCCCCTAGGAAGAACGCCGTGTGATTTATGTTGGTAAAATCAGACCTGACACAACACGGACAGAACTGAGGGACCGTTTTGGAGTTTTTGGTGAAATTGAGGAGTGCACAGTAAATCTGCGGGATGATGGGTGAGAATCTTCAAGATTATTTCTTGTTCAGAAGCTGACATATGTAAAAAATTATGGCCATAAGATTACTAGAATGGGAATGCTTTGACAGATGACATGTTGAGTTCAGAACCTTATTTATTTTCTTTCATCCCTATTTATTAATCTTTCTAGTTGAGATTTCCTATCCCAGAAATAAGTATTTAGCTGCTTGACAGGACAATCACACTGATAAATGGATGCAGTGGTTCAGACGTTGGCACCAGCGAAGTCTCCAAAGTAGAAAGGGTTACAGTCATATATGCTAATCCTTCCTCACTAGCTTTGAACTTCTCTTCTTTGTCCATTGCAGAGACAGCTATGGTTTCATTACCTACCGTTATACCTGTGATGCTTTTGCTGCTCTTGAAAATGGATATACTTTGCGCAGGTCGAATGAAACTGACTTCGAGCTGTACTTTTGTGGACGCAAGCAGTTTTTCAAGTCTAACTATGCAGACCTAGGTATGGATTTTACTGTACATAGAATGAGGAATCCATAATGTAGAGCTCAAAATGGAAGCATATGTAAACTGTAGGCACATTGGGTTGGACCATCGCTTTATTTTACTAGAGGGAATATTTGAATACAGATTTTATCTTATTTTTTATTTTTTAACACACGAGACAGTTTCAGAAGCAAGGGGCTTAAGTTTTGGCAACAAAGAGAAGAAGGAAATTGTTTCTACTGTCTGCCCATATGCTGAAATTCTGCACTATTTGTATGTGTGTGTGTGTGTGTGTGTGTGTGTGTGTGGTATGTTTTGAGTGTGCAAGTGTTGTATTCGTTTGTAATCTGTTACTGCTTTCCGTGCCTACCCTGAATCCTTTTGTACAAGCTATGGCATTGGCATCATTGCTTTGCAGAACAGAATATGCAAAAGTCTTACTCTTTTTTCCTTATTATCTCACAAACTCTTAGAAATGTCCACATTTTCTACAAATTACACCCAGAGAGAAGAGAAAGTAAAATTTCATGTGCTAAATCACACTGTACTTTCTTTAAAACAAAAGAAGAAAAAAAAACCCTGTTTTTTTTTAGTGCTTCCGTATGCTAGGCACTGTGCCAAGGCTTTGTAAGCGTTTTCTCATTTAATTACCAGAACAATCCTAGGAAGTGGATATTATCATCCCCATTTTACAGGTAAGGAAGCTGAAAAATAGATAAGTATTCCTTTTTGCCTGTTATAAAAGTTGTACAGACTCAAGGGGTGACATTTGGAAAATATAAAAAGGTATTAAGAAAAATAGCCTATCACCTAGAGATAACCACTGTTACCTAGTATGGGATTTGCTGTTCAGTATTTTGTGTCAGACCGTCAAATTTCTTGTAGTTGAGGTCATATTATACATATATATACACTTTTAAGTTCTACTTTTCTCGATTAATATTATATAAGTTCATTTTCCACTGTGATTCAAAGGATGAAAAATAATTTACCAGTACACTTTAATGGTTGTATAGTATTCTGTCTGGCAAATAGTGCCATTATACTTAATCGTTCCCTTATAGCTAAACACATTTTCAGTTTTTGATATTATAAATAATGCCACGATGGACATCTTGATTTCCTTTCCAATTTTAATTTTGTTCCTTTCCATGTTATTCCTTAACTAATGTGTGTGTTGTAAGCCTTTAAATTCCTTCATGAAATAATGAAGGAAGGAAAATGGCAAATGTCTTGTGCATATGACATAATTATTGAAATCAATTTATAATAATCATCATGAAATTAACATATCAGTCTGCTCCTAAGCATTATTATATGTCTATCTGCACTTGCTTTGGCTTTGGTATAAAGAAAAAAATGAATACCAAATACAGGGCTTTTTTCTTCCTTCAGCTGAACTGATGTCTTCCTAGAGTAATTGATACAGGTGGGGTGCATTGTTCAGGAGGAATATGCTATAATTCACTTCACAAGCTAAATAGATAGTATGAAGCAGGGGAGAGACAGTTGACTGTTAGAGAGATAGACGCCTAGGGATGAAAATATAAAAGGTGGCAAGTCATTTGTTCAAATGTTGGCTGATAAAAACAGTCCAGACAGATTGAAGTCTTGAGTTGATTTGACTTATTTTCTTCGGTGATGAAGGCCAGGGTGTTTTCTAGTCTCTCAAAACATCTAGAGTTTAGAATAAGCTACCTAGAGGGGCCTTTAGATCGTGATTCATCACTGGTAAAGGGAGCATGGGATAGTATTTCCAAATTGCACTGGAGCCTCCCTGAAATATTTCTAAGAAGAATGCTTCTCCTCTAGTTATCTCTCTGCCTTGCCAGCAGCAATAGAAACTTCGCCATTGCTAAGCTAGCTCTGATTTCCTGAAAGGTGTGTTTGATGTGTATTGTAATAGCATGGATTTTTCCGTTTCCCTCCAGCCTTACAAATGCAGGAAGTGGAGTCGATCTGAGTGTAGGCCTGGTGTAGTTGAAAGCGCCTTGGCTTTGGAATTTCGCAGGCCTGGTTTTGAAACCTGAGTTAGCTTTTTGACCTTGAGCAATTAAACTCCCTCTGCTTCTGGTTCTTCATTTGTAAAATACATTATAATGTTGTTGTGAAGATTAAATTTGTGTCTGTGAAGCCCTTAGCATAGTGTCAGTGTCTGGCACAAAATAGATTCTCAATGAATAGTAGCTATAATTATAATAAAAATGATTGTTATGAGAAGTTATAAATTTGAAGTTATTTTAAAATGAAAGAATCAACACCAGGGGCCAGCTTTGGAACCAAACAACATCATGTATGTCTTGTCTTTATTCCCTGAATAGTTGAAGTTAAGTGCCTCGGGCCATGAATGCTGAATAAGGTGCATATAAGCATATCCTGGACTCTTAGAGGGGTTGGGAGCTTACGTATATGTCAAGAGTAATGTGAAAATGATGTGATACTGATTAATTTTACCAAAAGTGAGGCAACCTATCATTTTAGATAGATTACCAATTTTTAAAATTTTTATTTGCTCTCCTAAATTAAGTTAGCTCATGTATCCCATTTCTCTGCTATTTTTAAATTATAGTTAATTTACAGTGTTGTGTTAGTTTCAAGCGTACAGCAAAGTGATTCAGTTATACATGTATATATATATTCTTTTTCAGATTCTTTTCCACTATAGATTATTATAAGATATTGAGTAGAGTTCCCTGTGCTATCCAGTAGGTCCTTGTTGTTTATCTATTTTATATATAGTCGTGTGTGCCTGTTCATCCCAGTCACCTAATTTATCTCCCCCACCCCCCTCACCCCTCATCCCCTTTGGTAACCATAAGTTTGTTTTCTATGTCTGTGAGTCTATTTCTGTTTTGTAAGTAAGTTCATTTGTATAATTTTTTTTAGATTCAACATTTAAGTGATATATGATATTTGTCTTTCTCTGTCTGACTTCTTCACTTGGTATGATAAATTCTAAGTCCACCCATGTTGCTGCAAATGGCATTATTTCATTCTTTTTTAGGGCTGAGTAATATTCCATTGTATATATGTACCACATCTTCTTTGTCCATTCCTCTGTCAGTGGACGTTTAGGTTGCTTCCATGTCTTGGTTATTGTAACACTGGGGTACATGTATCCTTTCAGATTATGGTTTTCTCCAGATATATGCCCAGGAGTGGGATTGATGGATCATATGGTAATTCTATTTTTAGTTTTTTAAGGACTCTCCATACTGTTCTCCATAGTGGTTGTACCAATTTACATTCCCACCAACAGTGTAGGGGGGTTCCTTTTTCCTCCACACCCTCTTCAGCATCTGTTATTTGTAGACTTTTAAATGATGGCCATTCTGACTGGTGTGAAGTGACACCTCATCATAGTTTTGATTTGCATCTCCCCAGTAATTAGCGATATTGAGCAGCTTTTCAGGTCCCTGTTGGCCATCTGTATGTCTTCTTTGGAGAAATGTCTATTTAGGCCTCCATTTTTCTGCTGTTGAGGCCACTTAATGGTTGCTTACAATACTATTAGTGCAAAACACGATGATTCTGGTTACTATTTATGAGCCAGATTTATAAATGAGACTCAGAATTTAAAGGGATGATCAGCTTATCATGATGAAGCCAATATTTAAGTCTGGTTTCTATGAATCTGTAATCTGTGTGTCTTTCTGTTTACTGTTCTATAAACAAATAGATCTTTCCATTTGAAAGAGCTTGATGAAAAATCTCAAAGAGGAAAGACAGAAATTAAATTAGGACTATAGGGTCAAAACAGAAGGATGGGTCATGATTAAGAATATGATCATTTTGATCAGGAATTAGTTTTGGCTTAGAATTTGTAAATAATAAAAAGTAAACAAATAACATTGGTCACAAACTCTTTATTAACTCAAAGAAATGTAGTATATTATCAACATCTTGAATACATATGTAACTTTACATATACCCTTGCCATTCATTGGTAAATCAATCCCAGATCTAAACACAAATATTTTCAATCACGTTTTTAATAATATGTGGGTGTTCAAGACTAATACATTCATTAGACAAATACTGAGTGCCTATTTTGTGCCAACAGTTTTCTAGGTGCTCGGAATACAGTTGTGATGTGATTTGTTTCTATTAATACAGTATTATTAATTATAAAATTTTATTTTTTTAATTTGTTAGCGTGGCTTTCAGGTTATTCCTATAAAAATTTCATTATCTCTTACTTGTGTTGCAATATCCTTCCTTTAGTGGAGGGAAAGGGGTGGAGTGGATGTTATTGCCACAGGAGTTGCATACAAACACATTGTCTCTTCAAGAAATGAGAAAGATTTTGTGGGTGCCGACTGACATAGTATGCCCATGAAAGTTGGTATATACGTAAGCACCAAGCCACTGTATTTCAGTGTAGAAACTCTTGAAATCCACTGTATCAAAGTGCTTTTAGTATTTACTGATGAAAACCCAGAAAATTCTGGGTTTCATGTAGAATAATCCCAAATTAAGACATTTTAAATATTCTCAAAATCTCCTCCAAGGAAAGATACACATATATATTCTCGACGGTTCTATGCTGACTTTATGTCACACAGACTGCCATCACTGGACAGCTCTTCCGTCTTCATCTACAGTGCAAGTGGAATTCTGATTTCAGGCTAATCTCTGACAATGAGCAGAACTTTTTTGTGTGTCTACAGAAGAGATTTTGATTTGAACAACAGCTGCTCATGAGGCTTTGGTTATACAGGCAAATTATTCATTAGGCTATGAAGAGAAGAGTGTAAGCCAGTGTAATTTAAGATTGACCATATAAAATTTTAGTGAGGAAAGATGGGCCATTTTTGTCCTGTTTTTATATCTGAGGCTGACTATAATTGTTCATCTTACCTGGAAAAAGAAATGCAGTAAAGACAAGGGATGGTGAGAATGAGAAAAAAAAAAAAAGTGAAGGAATTTCCTTGTCTTTAAAGTAGATTGAAGCTGGTGGGGAAGGGGAATCAGCCTGGTTCTGGAGAGCTTAAGGGATTTGCAACCTTTTCAGAAGAACACCTTGTGAGGTCAGTGATTAGCCCCCATATTATCTAATATTACCTTTTTCTGTCACCGAGCATTTCTATTTTGTAATTTAATCTGGGTAAAACACAAATATTTATATTTTAGTAAGATCGTTAACGTTTCCCAGAAAGGTTTAGTCTTCTCTTCTAGTAAGTGCTTTCCAAGGAATGAATGTGTTTGCCAGAGGCTTTCTATTGTATTTCCAAGATACCTTTTCTCAAGCTGAGAGACCAGCAGAAATAGTTGACTTTTCCATAGATGTCAAAGGAGAAAAATCAGAAATATTTGACAGAATTTTACCTTACGTCCAACGTGGCTGACATACATCCATTTTGTTCAGGGCTACTTAAAGTGGCATGTGGAGCTTTGCACAAAAGCTTACTTGGACTAGTTTAAAGATCTAAGAAAGACCATGGCTTTATTTATACGGGTATATTTTTCCTCTCCTATTAGTGAGTAAAGAGGCTGCATTTGCCCTCTCTGGACATGAAGCATTTTCCTAAACCTTCTAATCTGGGGAGAGTTTGTGCCACTGTTGCTGGGGTCCCTCAAGGTACTGGAGATCGTATGTCCCTCCCTCCTGAAAGGGGAGCAGCAGGGTGATGAGTGGGTGAAGTTCTGACAATTATCTCTCTCCCACTCAACTGGCTTTCATGCTCAATGAAATCAATCCCACTGAATAGGAAAATTAGTTCCAGCTTCTACTTTTACCTCTCCAACTAAGTGGTTGAGGAACCTTGGGTAAGTCATTTAACATGCCAGGAAGGGAGAGGGGGCTTATTTTTAAAGCATATTGATTGACTAAGTTACTATTGAAAAGAAATATTAAAGTCTGTTCTGATTTCCTCCAGGAGTGTTTAAATCTAAAATGAGTCAATAGATGACTGTTTTGAATGCTCATCACTCCTTACCCTCTGCAAGTATATACATGTGCTATAAATAAATAAATATACACTTAATTAACTAAAATATTGGTGTGTATATATACCAGTACCATATACTGTAAAAATACCTTCTGCAAATATATATACACATATTAATATTCATACATATAAATACCTTCTGAAAAAATATATGTAAATATATGCATATATATATGTGTACACCAACATCAATATCATATACTAATAAAAGCTGGGCATATTTTTTAAAGTATATCGATTGGATAAGTTGCTCTTGAATCAGGTAATCTTAGAATAGATGATTGAGTTAATGACCATCAGCAGAGGGTACATCTAAATCTGGCTTGGGTTTCTTTCAGATTCAAACTCAGATGACTTTGACCCTGCTTCCACCAAGAGCAAGTATGACTCTCTGGATTTCGATAGTTTACTGAAAGAAGCCCAGAGAAGCTTGCGCAGGTAACATGTTCCCTGGCTGAGGATGACAGAGGGACGGTGAATACCTCACGGGACAGCGCGTCCTTCCCTAACAGACTGTTGCAAGTCATACTTAGGAATTTCTCCTACTTTACACTCTCTATACAAAAACAAAACAAAACAACAACAATACAACAAGAACAACAACAATGGTTTACATGAACACAGCTGCTGAAGAGGCAAGAGACAGAATGGAAACCCAGTAAGCACATGTTTATTTATGGGTGTCAGCTTTGCTTTCCCTGAGTCTCTTGGTGATGGAGTGTGTGTGTGTGTGTGTGCGCGCGCGCGTGTGCTTGCCTGGTTTGGGGGAAGTGTGTATGTACAGGTGGGGACTGGGGGCACCTGACCAGTGCGTGCAAGGGCAAACCACTTCAAATGGCAGCAGTTCCATGAAGACACACTTAAAACCTAGAACTTCAAAATGTTCATATTCTATTCAAAAGGAAAAAAAAAAAAAATGTACATCCAAAAGGAAAGAAAACCAACCAACCACAAGCCACCCTAAAATGACAGCCACTGATGTCTGGGCATCAGCCTCCGTACTCTGTTTTTTTTAAGAAAGTGCAAAATCAACTTGAAGCAAGCTTTCTCTCATAACGTGATGATTATATGACAATCCCGAAGAAACTGCAGGTTCCGTAGAACTCATATCCTTTCTCTCTCTCTCCCTTTTTTTCTTTCTTTTTCTCCTTTTTCCTTTTGCCATGGAATCTGGGTGGGAGAGGATACTTCGGGCACCGAGCTCAACTTTCCTAACATTTTGAAGTCTCTGTAGTTCGTCCTTTCTCATGACACCCATGTAAATGTCCAAAATGTTGATCTTCCACAGCGAATTTCAAAAGCCTTGTCAATGGTCAAGCTTGCAGCTTGTTCAGTGGTTCTTCCTGAGGAGCGAGCACGGTGTTACATTACTAATGGGAGTTGGGTAGAACTCTCTGGGATGTGTTCAGATAGTATCATTGCTACATTCTCTGATGTAGTTAAGTATTTACAGATGTTAAATGGAGTATTTTTATTTTGTGTACATATGATACAATGATGTTCTTTTTTTGTTACAGCTATGCACTGTAAATGCAGCCTTCTTTTCAAAACTGCTAAATTTTTCTTAATCGAGAATATTCAAATGTAATTATGAGGTGAAACAATTATTGTACACTAACATATTTAGAAGCTGAACTTACCGCTTATATATATTTGATTGTAAAACAAAACAAACAAAAAAGGACAGTGTGTGTGTCCGTTGAGTGCAGCACAACAAAATCGATGCTTTACGCACAACCATCCCTTCTTAGGTGAGCTTCGATCCAAGCATCTTGTCAAGAAATCTCCTAGCCCCCTAAAGGTATTAACCACTTCTGCGATATTTTTCCACATTTTCTTGTTGCTTGTTTTTCTTTGAAGTTTTATACACTGGATTTGTTAGGGGAATGAAATTTTCTCATCTAAAATTTTTCTAGAAGATATCATGATTTTATGTAAAGTCTCTCAATGGGTAACCATTAAGAAATGTTTTTATTTTCTCTATCAACAGTAGTTTTGAAACTAGAGGTCAAAAATCTTTTTAAAATGCTGTTTTGTTTTAATTTTTGTGATTTTAATTTGATACAAAATGCTGAGGTAATAATTACAGTATGATTTTTACAATAATTAATGTGTGTCTGAAGACTATCTTTGAAGCCAGTATCTCTTTCCCTTGGCAGAGTATGATGATGGTATTTATCTGTATTTTTTACGGTTATGCATCCTGTATAAATACTGATATTTCATTCCTTTGTTTACTAAAGAGACATATTTATCAGTTGCAGATAGCCTATTTATTATAAATTATGAGATGATGAAAATAATAAAGCCAGTGGAAATTTTCTACCTAGGATGCATGGCAATTGTCAGGTTGGAGTTTAAGTGTTTCATTTGGGAAATTCCGCTTTTGCAGAAGCAGTGTTTCTACTTGCACTAGCATGGCCTCTGACGTGACCATGAAGTTGTTCTTGATGACATTGCTTCTGCTAAATTCAATAAAAACTTCAGAAAAACCTCCATTTTTGAGCATCAGGATTTCCTCTGAGTGTGGAGCCCTGGAATGGAAGTCAGTAAAGTTTGGCGTGTACATTCAAGTTTTTAAATTGAGATCCGATTACAGTTTGGCCGACATGACTTTTCTGGAAGACATGATATACCTACTACGTAATCGTTCTTTTCCTTTCTCTCGCCCAACACGATCTTATAAAATGGATTTCACCCCCAGGCCAATGCAGCTAATTTTGAAAGCTGCATTCATTTATCACCAGCATATTGTGTTCTGAGTGAATCCACTGTCTGTCCTGTCGGATGCTTGCTTGAGTTTTTGGCTTCTTATTTCTAAGTAGATAGAAAGCAATAAAAACACTATGAAATAAAAGAACTTGTTCACAGGTCCTGCGTTACGACCGTAACACATCTTTAATCCGCCTAATTCTTGTTGTTCCGTAGGTTAAATGCAGGTATTTTAACTCTGTGTGGACGCCAAACTAAAGTTTACAGTCTTTCTTTCTGAATTTTGAGTATCTTCTGTTGTAGAATAAGAATAAAAAAAGACTATTAAGAGCAATAAATTATTTTTAAGAAATCAATATTTAGTAAATCATATTATGTGTTCAAGGACCAGATGCTTTCTCTATTTTGCCTTTAAATTTTTTGTGATCCAATTTTCAATACATTCTCCTTTTTGCCCTGGATTGTTGACATGAGTAAAAATCTTGGTTTCTTTTCTTACTTATGAAAAGACAACACTACAGATTTCATGTTGAGGATTCATTTATCCCCCCTTCTGGCCTGACAAATATTGTTACCATGAAGATAGTTTTCTTCCATGGACTTCAAATTGCATCTAAAATTAGTGCAAAGAGAGACTCACTAGACCATCCAAATAGAGCTTTTGTATCTTATGCAGACACTGTGGGTAGCCCATCAAAATGTAAACTGTGTTCCTTTTATTTTTAAAATTTTTTTTGGAGAGAATATTTCCAATGAACACATGCACCCCATCATCACTGGAGGCAAATTTCAGCATAGATCTGTAGGATTTTTAGATGACCCCGGGCCATTGCCTTCATGCTGTGGTAAGTACCACATCTACAATTTTGGTAACTGAACTGGTGCTTTAGAAATGTGGGTTGTTTTTTGTTTTTCAAGAGATGTAGCAGAATAATTCTTCCAGTGCAACAAAATCAATTTTTGCTAAACGACTCTGAGAGCAACGGTTGGGCTGTCAACATTCAAAGCAGCAGAGAGGGAACTTTGCACTATTGGGGTATGATGGTTGGGTCAGTTGAAAAAAAGGAAACCTTTTCATGCCTTTAGATGTGAACTTACAGTAGGTAATGATTATGTGTCCTTTTTTGATGGCTGTAACGAGAACTTCAATCACTGTAGTCTAAGACCTGATCTATAGATGACCTAGAATAGCCATGTAATATAATGTGATGATTCTAAATTTGTACCTATGTGACAGACATTTTCAATAATATGAACTGCTGATTTGATGGAGCTACTATAAGATTTGTAGGTGAAAGTGTAATACTGTTGGTTGAACTATGCTGAAGAGGGAAAGTGAGCGATCAGTTGAGCCCTTGTCGGGCTTTTTTTTTTTCCCACCTGCCAACTCTACATGTATTGTTGTGGTTTTATTCATTGTATGAAAATTCCTGTGATTTTTTTTTTTAAATGTGCAGTACACATCAGCCTCACTGAGCTAATAAAGGGAAACGAATGTTTCAAATCTACTTCTGCTTTTCTTATTTATCATAACCAAACTCCTGGCATATTCCTCAGATCAGTACACATTACTCGCTTATCGTTATTCTGTTTCCTCTCTGGATCTCCCCCCTCCCCCTGCTTTTCCATATTCATGGATGGATTTCAGCTCTAAGGTAACATGCACCTTCTGTATTTTACCTTGTCTCCTTTCAAATGGCAAAGGCAGAAGTGGTGATTTCTATAATGAGAAGTGATGTGGGACTTTATCAAACGGATTAGCTCTGTTTTGGTACTTAACCCTGGAAAGTGTGAATTTTAAGTACGAGCCACTGCCCCTAGTGAGAAACCTGCTAAGTATTTCAGCTTAGGAAGCAATTGTACTCTAACGGGCTGAATTTTTTTTTTATTGACAGTTGATTTACAATGTTATGTTAGTTTCTGGTGTATTGCATGGACTGAATATTTTTTGAAGACTTGTAACAGAATGCATCTCCCTGTCCCCCCGTCATATGTAAGTCATCAGGTTAAATATGGGACAAGCTGATAGATTGCTGCCGGTACGGCTCGCTGTCAGGATGTCCACTGTGCCTTGTAGGTGATCGGTGATCTTCGTGACAGAGATTGCAGAGAATGTGTTATTAGTGCTCTGCCATGTCCAGATTTCAGATGTGGTCCTCACTCCCAGCCACTTGCACTGCAAGATTCAGCATAAGCCTAGCCACGGGGAAAGGTGGTTAAATGTATTCCAGTTCCTAGCCCCCCCCTTTCTCCTACAGAAAAATGTATTCGTAATTATTGGAAATGTGATAGAGCTATCAATAGTACATTGAAATCTGCTAAATAACACAAGAAGCCCTTCCCCTGGCTCTCTATTTTATAGCACTGTAAGATTTGCCAATTATTTTATCAAAATAGAAAATAAAAACTTCCTGTTATCTTACCCAAATACTGCATTCATCTACAACTGTGATTCAGTGGGTAGGCCTCACATTGTGACTTGTCTCCACTGGTGTTTAAATTGTATAGGGCATTTTGAATCTTCTGGCTGGAATTAGCAAGGGCAATAGAATAATGACAGCCTTCCTTTTGAAGGGTTAACTTTTTACCCTTAAAAACCTTTTGAGGGTAAAGAGGGATTTTTAAGAGGAAAAAAAAAGGAGTAGCCACTAGTCTTGTACAGGGACAAGACTAGATTAGAGATAAAGGATTCATTTGATGTTGTCCTCAAACATTAAATCGCTTCCATCCTTAATGACACTAATGGCAAAATAATTATTGAATCCAAAATTAGGCTGACAAAAATAAATGAACACTGGATATGAATAGTTTATTTAAAAGGAGCTTGTTTCCATTCAAAAGTCCTCCAAACTAATCTGTTTAAAGTATACAATGTGATATTGGTTCAAAATCCTTTTTCAGCATTGCCAGTTTTCTCTTAATTGTAGCCTTATTTAGCTAATCATTGGATATAATTTACAGCTCTGAGAGCACTGTTATACTCATTTGACACTAGTGTTACTAGCTACACAGTTGTAACTCAGTATTAATTATAGCGTATTATAACCAAGACGTACTTTTTACAATGTTTACTTTATATTAATCTTGTATTTTGCAATTCTCTTTACCATGCCTTGTTTTCAAACACAGTATACACTATTATAAATCAATCTTCACACTTTATCAAACAGCAGAGAGCAATAAATAAGGTC